CTCTCTGGGCTCACTATCCAGGCCAGGAAACCATAGCCACTGGCCTTCAGATCATTTTTAGGCCTGAGTCCCTCTGTGCCCCACTGTCCAATCGATTCAAGTCAAGCTCTTGGAATTCTTTTCTGCAATCCCCCTAAGTAGGGTATAGTAAGAGAGAATCAACACCTAACCTTCCCCTTGGCTGGGGGAGGGAGGAGTGGCAACCTTCTCCAGACAGATCTTCACTACCACCTGTTTTTCTGCTTGAACTCTCTTATACAGGCTGGGTTTGGGTAATGGACTATTGATCACCCCTTTTCCAAATCTGCAGAAATAGTCTACCATCTTGATTGAGAATGTGGCGGTAGTTGAGAATAGCTGATACCTATCTTTCTTTTCCTGACCTTTGGGGCCTCTGCCCAAATTTTGAGATGGGAAGGGTCCCATTTAACATACTGTTACCTATAGAAAGAGCCTAACACGGTGCTTGACACAAGGCAGACATTCACTAACAGAGGTGATGGTGGATGGTCAGACATAGGAATCAATCCCACCTTTGAAATGGTTGGAACCCTCTCCCCATAAGCCAGACTGAAAAGGAATCTGTACCCTCATGTAAGGCTTAAAAGGTAGTTGCCTGGCCCTCCTTATGCTTCATCTACATGTCTCTTCCAAATACAATGTTTACAGCCATTGGAATCCAGTAGCTTCCGTACGCATGCACACACCCAGATCCACAACCCACACTCAGTGACAAATCACAAGTCCCAGGAGGTCAGGAACCAGCTTAGCTGTTCACAGTGGGGGAAGAGAGCAATGAGCACTCTCCTGTTCTGAAGTCCCATCTCAGTCACGGTAGATGGAGTGGGAACGTGACCTCGTGCCCTGAGCCCCTGGTAGCCAGTGCGCCCTGGTCTGACATCCAGGCTGGCCTCTGTCTTGATTAGTCAGTCTCTGTGCTAATCTAGCTTGTCTATGTGGTAAATATCAGCCTTGTTTGTGGGCGTGGAGATACTCAAATCCACGGATGCACAGAAACACCAGCAGCATGTGTGTACACACAGTCACTTCTTTACTCAGAGGTGCACATGCAGTTACTTTCCTTGTAAAAGCAGAAGTTACATGAACTTGGAAAAAATAAACTGAGCTGATCTGGGGTGCGATAACATATTAAGGAAGCATTTATCTGCTTCAAGCCTTTCTCTTGGCCTCCTAGTCTTTGTGTCTTCATTCCTTTGGTTGTTAGTTCCCACAAGTGGCACTGGAAAGGATTATAGGGGACACAGGCACAGCCTCCAAGAAATTCCAAACCCAGAAATACAGCGTCGAGTCATCATTTTCCAGATGGTAGGCACATACTGAGAAAGGTTCAATTTAAACACGAGGGCAGGGATTGGCAAAAGTTTTCTAGAAAGGGTCTGATAGTAAATATTTTAGGCCTGTGGGCCTTATGGTCTCTTTGCAGTGACTGAACTGCTGTCCCAGCAGGGAAGTAGACCTAGATAATAACAAACCAATGAGTACAGTTATGTTCCAATAAAACTTTATTTGCAAAAACAGTCAGTGGGCCAGATTCAGCCCATGGGCCTTAGTTTGCCGACCCCCCCCACTAGAATCTAAAGAAGACAGAAGCCATCAAAACTGGCTTCGCAGGTCTTCCAAACGTTGATACGGGCTCCGTTCTACCTCCTTCAGAAAGGACAAAATCCACTGTTTTGGGTGTGGCATCAGTTTTCTTCTAATTATTTTGTGCTGTGCTTAGGTATTTTGATGTTCTTCTGAACGAGTTTTCTCAGTCCCTCCTTTTTGTCTTTATTTTTCTCTTTCTGCATATATATCTCTAAATGCTTCCCATTCTTCATTCTGTCCCCTTGCACCCACGGGGTTTGTAGATTTTAGAATGAGACTCTTTCACATCCATCCTTGCTAAAAATCCTGGTTTCATTTCAGGTTCCTCATCTGTATTGGAGTACAGAGGCAATGTACAGCAAAGAACACTCATCTGGATCACCGGACATACCACCACCTTGCTGTGTGACTTTGAGCCAATCACCTAACCTCTCTGAGCTTCCCTTTCCTCATCTGTCAAATGAGAGAGTTGGCTAACTGATCTCTTAAATCCCTTCTAGCTCTAAGCTTGTGATTTTAGGAAGCTGCAGCCTCAACTTGAGGCAACTGTCAGGGGCCATTAATTATAGTGTCACTCACAGACCTTAATGAAACTGCCAGGAGGTCACAGAAATTAACCACATGATCTCTGATACTTGGCAACCTTCACAGCTGAGGGGGTGGGGATACCAGCTAACCTGAGAGAATCTGAGAACCCAGCCCACTGACAAATGACTCCAGGACCCCTATGCTCCAGGAAAATTAATTTGCGTTCCTAAACTGCCACTGAAGTAGCTACAAAATGGGCACAAATATTGACTTGTTGGAAGCAGAACCCTAGGGAGCTACGGTTGGAGGTAGGAGGCTTTCTCTTCTCCACCAGACACCCCTGTGTTGTATGGAGCTCTCCTGGCCACATAAAGGACACCTCTCAAAGCCCACCAAATAAACGTATGAGGAGGTCATAAGGAAACGGAGGCAAATTCCAGCATGTGCCAGAGGAAAGAGGCTTTCTCTGCAAGTAGAGGTGAGAGACCTCAGGGAGGATCAAGGAACCAGGACTCTGGCTGAGGCAGGGGCTGGCGGTGGTTGGCAGCTGAGGTGGGGGCCGTGGGGGGATTTATACAGCATCATCCCGACTCTCTCAGGCTCCCCTAGCTCATAGCCCAGCGGCTTGTGGATGCAGCAGATGGGCAGGGGGCTGGCACCCTCCCCCTGCTCAGTCTCAAGGGACGGGGAGGGAGTGGAGAAGCCCACAACATCCTGGCCTCCAGGAGAGCAGGCCTTTCTTGTCTGACTCTGCTACAGCCGCCTCATTTGTAGCCTAAATAATTCACTCACCAAATTCTCAAGGAGCATTAGAAGGAAAACAAAACCCAACCCCACCCTCACACTCAGGTTCCCACTGCACCAAAGGCAGGCCAGGAGGCTGGGAGGCAGCCCCAAGCTGCATAGAAGGCCTGCCTTCAAAGGTTCGCGGGGACTGGCAACCTTCCAAAAACAGCCTGGGGTCTGGTTTTGTACAGCCCTGGAGCTAAGAATGGTTGTTACAGTTTTAAAAGGCTTTTTAAAAAAAAAAAAAAAACAAATAAAACACACAACAACAAAGAAAAACATGTCAGAGACTATATATGGCCTGTAAAGCCTAAAATAATTGCTACCTGGCCCTTTCCAGAAAGTTTGCCAACCCCCTTTGTCCATTCCCCAGTCTTAAAGGAAGAGATGACAACCTCTGACTCCCCCACTCCCTGACCCCACTAGGTGCAGAGATTCAAAGTTGGCAGAGTTCTGATATTTACAATCGAGTGAGAAGCTGGCATCATTTTCCACCCCATTACCCAAACCAGAACTAAACAAAAACAAAAAGAAAAACCCTCGAGTGGGGTGAACAGTCTTGGTTCTGCTGCTTGGGGAAGAGGAGAAAGAAGCAGGGAGGGGCTGAGATTCAGCCTCAGCCCAATCATGGGGGGGTGGGGGGGGGTCAGAATTCAGCATTGTCCTGGTTGGTCTCTACTGCCCCCCCCCCCCCCCCGCTTCAAGCTCCACACCCTCCACACACACCCTGTGATCCCAGCTGATCCCAGCTGATCCTAGCAGTCACTGAGCCTATAATTCTTTTACTGATGAGATATCCAACCGGCCCCTGTCTCTGAGTCCCTGAAGCCTGTGTCGGTCTGACTCTGCCAACCCTCAATCATGGACAGAGGCTCCATCTGGCCCTGCAAGGCCTCCCCTACTGCCCAGCAGGGCCTTGGAAGGGAGAGGACTGTGACCAGCCCTGGACTCCACCCAGAGTCTCTCTTGGAGCCAGAGCTTCTGCGCGTTCCATTCAGCTTAAGCACTCGGGAAGGGATGTGTCAGACTAGACACAATGGAGCTGCCAGCTCAGAGCACCCCGGGTGTAACTGGGGTGAATGATCTCTGGCTGTCATGGGGCCTGGTAGTAATTTGGGGGGCTGAGGGCAGAGTAGAGATCCAGTGGTCCCACATGCTGGCATATGAGTATTCTGGATTACTTCGGGTAACAGGGACCTGTTCTAGAGTCTCCCAAGAGAAATGTTGCTGCTACCCTGCCAGTCCTTTGCAGGTTCCTGTTCTTGAGCTACAAATGATACGGAAGGCCCCAGTTGAATCCCGTATCCAGGTTAAGCCAAAGGCCTTAGAGATTTGGAAGCCCAAACTGGAAGATCTTGGGCAAGTCATCTTACCTCTTTGGGACGCAGCTTCCTCATCTGTTAAAATAAGCAAATAAACAAAAACCTGAGGTCCTTGGATGGGGGCGATTTTAAGGTCCTATCCATCCCATTCCCAATGAACAGCCCAAACTAAGCCACATCTCCGCAGAGCTTTGCTGGAAAGTTGTCTGGCTTCACGTCGGCTTTCCTTCCCCAAGTCAACCCAGTCCCAAGCAAATGAGATAAAGCTGGTCTCTCATGGAGGCGAGGATTTCCTTCAGCATGTTGGCAGCTTGCTGGGCGTTCAGACTGACATGAGGGAGGGAAGTGGCAGGTGGTGAACGTGACGTCTTGTCTTCGTGCCTTGTGGTGAGGGGGTGGCTGAAGGGCTGTGGGAGTCTCACCCTTGCACCCCCAACATGCCCGCAGCGTATGGTCCAGAAGCCGTACAGAGTCCTGTACCTTTAACGTCGATTAGCTCAATCATCTTTCAACAACTCTCCAACTTGACTGGACATTCCTCAAGGGCAGGAATTGTTCTGGGTCCCCCAGGAGAACCCAGCACAACACTAGGTGTGTGGCCGGAGATCTGTCCTTATCTGCTGAGCAACTCAGTTGAAATGCCCCTGGAAAGAGTGATTCTGCACTTGGCACAGGGCGTGTGTCCAGGTAAGTGAATCTCCACTTTTGTTGGCTGATAACAATACCGTTCTTCAGTCCATGGCTCAGTCAAGCTGTCCTTTCCAGGCCGTGACCCAAGAACTATCGTGTAACCTAGAGAGCAGGCAATGGAGGAAGGCTGGAGAAGGGACTGCCCAAGACTCCCCAGGAGATATACGTCATATGAAGCTCATTGATGCTGATCCCTTAGCCCTAAAGCAGTGCAGACTGGGAGAGCATGGCTGGCTTGGCCTACACAAACGTAAATCAAGCACACCTCACCACTGCTTGCTTCAGAGTGGCAACCCAAACTGCAAGCGCAGCGATCTATGGGCGACCAACCCAAACCTATAAAACAGTGACAGATGTTACAAGCCCTGTGGTGGGTCTCACTGTCTTCTGGTCTTAACCACACTCAGAATGGCTGTCTCCCTTGCCTGCTTGCAGATAGGAAGCTCCACTTTTTCTTGCTGTAACTCCTTCTGTTCTGTGCTCTCCAAATATGTGGCTCTCTTCAGAGCCCTGAAGGCTGCCTTCTCTTCTCTGTTTATGTGTCTGCTTGTTTGCTCTGTGTGGTGGTGGGAAGGGAGGGCAGAAGGCAGAGTTCTGCCTTGCCCCAAGTGTCACTCCTCTGTACAAAGGGTGATGGCAGAGTCATGCCACTGATTAGCTATGACACACATGCAATTGCTAATGAGTTTGATAAAATTTTAATTACCCCTTGTTCCCTGGGGCAGGCAGCGAACCATGAAAGTAATAATCCTCTTGGGTGCCATCGAAATAAGATAATAAAATGAGTGGAAGATGGGTGTGAACTGTAGGGAGTTAATCCTGGGGGTTGGGGCAGGGTCTGCAGCAGGGGTGGGTGGGCAGAGTGGCTCCCCCCTGCCCCCCCCCCGCACAGATGCCCCTCCAAATTATCTGGACCATTTCCTAATTCTCTATCTTGTTCTTATGGACCTGGGAGACAAACTCACCCTAGGGAGAAGAGGAAACCAAGGCATATGGAGCATCAGGGATTAGCCCAGGACACATCAGATTTCAAATCCTGAGGCCCTAACTCCGGTCCCCACAGTGGAGACAGTCCAGAGGGACTGTCCAGCCAGGCATGTGCCCACGTAGTTCATAGATCTCACCTTGGGACATGGATCTCCTAGACCCCCGGCTCCTTTGCCTCCCTCTGTCCCACCCCACGTGAAGGGGGAAGAGTAGGGTGGGTTGGAGTGGCCATCCCCGGATACCTTGGTGGTTTTGACTTTGTGTCCGCTGCTGCAGCTCCATCCTGACAGATCCGGGAGCACTTTGCACTCCTCCCCTGGCAGGCAGGGCTCCATCTGACACCACCACTTCTGCAGGACAATGGAGGCTGTGGGAGCAGGCGGCAGTGAGGGCAGCTCTAAGCTGTCCTCGAGGACAGAGTGCAGTCAAGGGCAGGAAGTCCATGCAGAATGAAGGGTGAGTTTGCACACTGCTGGCTTTGGGTCCTGCGTTCCCCTGTCTTCCCTGACTCCTGGCTGCCCAGAAAGGCAGCACTCGGGCTGAGGCTGGGGCACACACCTTATCACATTCGATCCCACTGATCCCTATATGTCACCATAGACAGCACGGGGAGAAGGCAGGGCAAGTTCTCAAAGGAGCCCTCCGGTCAGCAGAGAGATACGGTCTTCAACATTCCCACCTGGTGTATGTGAGCAAGTGCGCACCCCAGACCAGGAGTGCAGAGCAGGCATGCGTGTGAGCACACGCCGGCACGTTTATAGTCCTGCCACGTGAGTGTGAGCTCATGAGCATGGATGGGATCGTGGGAGAGGGGTGGGTGTGAGTAACACGTGTGTGTCCACGTCAAGGTCACCGAAGAATGAGAGGCGGGTGCATGTAAGAGGCTGGTGGAGGAGCAGGAGATGAAGAGGTCAACGCCTGACGCCAGGTTTGGGAGAGAAGATTCGAGGGACAGAATGTCTAGCGCTAGGCAGGGAGTGCGGATATGGGGGGGGGGCAGGCGCAGATCAGGGCCTCTCCTTATCTGTGAAGCGGGGATGGTCCCCATCTGCCCTCCTCCCCCCAGAGGTTACCCATCATTTGAGACTGATCCCGAAAGCCCTGGGCTGGTATGAAATTGCATCCCGAGCAGATGGTGCGGCCTGGACAGGCCTTCTTATCTCTGTGATTGGGCCTTCCCTGCCAGGGCCCGGCCTCTCACTCACCGTCCACGCAGGAGGGCTTTGCCCGTGTGGTGCCGGCCACCTGGCCAGAAAAGCAAGAGCACTGGACAGTCTGGGAGCGCTCCTCGATGCGGTTCCGGTTGCAGCAGCGATGAGCAGCAATCACCTCGCAGGTGCCCTGTTTCACCAGGACTGGAGCGACCAGACAAGGTCAGGGGCCCAGCCCACGCCATCCGGCAGCCCTGCTCTCTTCCCACCTGCCCTGCTTGTTCTTGGGCCCTCCTCCCAGCCAAGGGGAGGGGTGTTCAAAGGATGGCCAACTGCAGGGGAGGAGGAGGAAACGAAATCCTCCTGCTCCTTCAGCGGCCCGATCCTTCCTTCTGCCCCAGTGAGACCACACTCATCCCTCTTTGGCAGAGCCTGGCCCTGGGGCAGAAAAAAGGTGGAATTCCCCACCAGGCCCCACTTCCTCTGGCCTCTTCCGGGTGAGGGCAAGGGCCCTGGGGGCTTACATTGCGTGGGGAGGATCATCCGCTTACACAGGCTTTAGCCATTCCAGAAGGAAAACCACAGAATTAGGCCAGGAGGCTAGACTTAAGCCTCCACCCCCGGGGCTCTCTCCCTGCAGAACACCTTCTGGCCTGGAAGGAAAGGTGAGCCACAGGTCTGCCCACACCTTCTCTGGGCTGGGATTACAGAGGGGGGCAGATTTTCCTGGGTGAAAAACAGAGAAGGAGCCAGAACCCCTAGAATCTGCATTTTACTCGGCCTTGGAGATCTGCCTGCTGTGGAATGGGGTGGGGTGGTGCCCGGCTCTGCCGGCATCCCGGGAAACCTTCCCCCAGGCTCTGCCTCCTTGCCCAAACCTGTGGGAGTTGGCGGCTGCAAGGAAGCCGAGGCAAGGTGGGTCCACAGGCAGGCCAGGGAAAGTACCAGCAGCCAGTGGCCCGTACTCCAGTTCTGAGCGGTCCTCTCACGCATCCTGCCGAGAGAAGCACACAGCCGGCTCAAGGCTGAGCAGGAGCTCCCCAGCACCCAGCCCTAGCACCATGCGCTCTGGGAGGCCCAGAGGTGGGCAGGATGCACACACAAAGTGATGAGTACCGTGGAGGGAAAGGGAGCTGGGAGACTGCCCGGTCGGGAAAGCCACAGACAGCTTTGTAGGGGAGATGCCATTTAAGAGCGTCTTGAAGGATGAACCCGACATGGTCCCTTGGAGGGCTGTGCCATGGGAGGAACAATACTGCTGACCCCCATTTGTTGAGCACTTGACCCAGGCACATCACATACATGCTCTTGCGGCCCTCACGACTGTCCTACACAGTGGGATTATTTGTACCCACGGATGAGCAAACTGATCCTCAAAACGCCTGGCGACAACTTAAACAACCACCAATAAAGGACTGGCTAAATACATCTGTGGAGCATCTGTACGAATGCAGTTATATCCAGGCCTCTGTAAAATAGAAGGAGGAAATGCTTTATGTACTGAGGCGTGCAAAGATCTCTAACGATAAGCCACTATTAAGGGGAAAAAAAACAAACAAACAAACACAAAGTGCAGGATGGTGTGTAGAAAATGCGTAAAAGGGAGGGATTATATATGTTGCTTTAATATGCATAAGCTAGCTCTGGAAAATGTACCAAAGAAAACCTAGTAACATTGATTGCCACCAAGAAAGGGAAACGGTTTACTCAGAGATGGGGGTAGAAGGGAGACTTAATCTTTCTCCCCGTTGCTTTTTTTTATTGGGGGGAGGAGGGTTGAACTGAACTGGAGGAATGTAATAGCAATTCAATTTCAACAAATTTAAATTTAGAAAAGAAGAAACGACACCAGGGCTAATAGAAGTCAAACGACTGCCCCAGGCCAGGGAGCATGTGGGTGGCAGAGCCCAGAGCCCAGAAGCCGGTCCTATTCCTACCCCACTACTATGGCTTTTCCTCGGTTCTCTTCCTCTATCCCTGATGGGTCAGGCCTCCCATCTATCCCAGAGCACGAGCTAGAAAGAGAGGGGGTCCCAAGGAAGCAGAGGCAGAAAGCAGCAGGGGGCTGCCCAGGCATACCAGGAGTCTGGACCACCCCCCTCTGCTGCACGACTGGCCCCTTGGGACATCGCTGGAGTCCCTCAGGCATCAGCAGTCCTGGCAACACCGGAGACCAAACCAAATGCCGGGACCTTGGATAAGGTGCTTGATCTCTGTCACCACCACCTGCCCTCAACTGTCTCCCCTTCAGCTTTCTCCTCACTCACCTTTTTGGGGATCTTTCAGCTTCTGTCTGTTCATCCACAGGCCTCAGACTCACCCCACCTAGACAAGTAGGAAAGATTCTTGGGGGGTTGCCAGGGACAGAGGGAGCCCATGGCCCTGCAGGAGGTGAGGGAGGGCCTGGGTGAGGACAAAAGGTAGAATGGAGTAGAGCCCAATTCTGAAGCTGTTCCTCAAGGGGCAGGGTGGGAGGCAGAGGCTCTCCTCTGCCTTGCAGACTCTGTGAACACACAGGACAGCTAGCCCCGGAAGAGTAGCCTGAGGATTCCTCTGTCCCAGGAGTGAAGCAGGGCCGATAGTGGGGAGGTGTCTAGTAATCAACGCTATCAGGGTTCTGGCCTTGGGAGGGAGCTGAAGGCCAGGGAAGGATTCCTGAGCAGGATCTGACAAAATGCTGCTCCAAGGGGCCCCTGGACAAGACCCTGAGGTCTTGAATCCTTTTGTCTCCACCTCCTATCCCCACTGCACCTGCGTCCTGTTCTGGAGCAGAGCTGGCTCCATTCTGCCACCCTCACCCCCATTTCCATGCCGGAGGGCTAGAAGGGGGTGCCTCCCGGTCTCTAGCCCAACAGCTTCTCCATTTCTCCCGAAGACCTCTCTTCCCTTAGCCTCCAAAGGGAGGTGGAGCTGAAGCATGAAGCAGGTAGGATGGTGGGGCCCACAGAGGACTAGGGGGACAGATGGAGGAAGTGGTGCCAATATCCCAGAGATGGCAGCGTTCCACGGGCAAGAGCTTCCCAGCCTTCCAGATGTATCTCTTTTCTGAGTAGGTATCTCCTCTCCCTGTCCCCTTCAGGAACCTTCATTTTGATCGTTTCAAATACAGCTTTGTCTTCTCTTAGGCAGCCTTCATCCTTTTTCCCTCTGAGCTGCCATACCCGCCAACCCAGCTCTCCCATGAACCCCAAGACCCCCAAAAATGAGGGGGGTGCTTTTGGGCTGAGTCCTCTGGCATTCTATTCCCTCCCTCAGGGAGAAGCGGAAAAGGAAGCTTCTGGGGTTTGTTCTGGGCTTCCACACTCCTGCCTCAGTTTCCCAGCCTGTTTTCCCCAAACCCAGGCGCCAGGTATGGGGAGGCTGAGCTAGCAGCCAGCACACCAGCGTGGAGGTGGTTGAGGCTGTGGACCCCGAGACGCTTTAAGTTTCCCTGCCTTCTCCTGGCCCCCGCCAGCGCCCACTCACTGCTCCAAATTTCTGAGCCCCCATCCCCAGGATCTACCTGTCCTACGGCGGTGCCCACTTGCCTCTGAGTCCCGCACCAAGACTCCGAAAGGCGGATTTCAGGCGGGAGCAGCCGGCTCGGGTGCTGTCAAGTCAGGAGCCCCGCGTCCCCCACCAAGTTGCCGCCGGGTCCCTGACGCGGCGGGACTTCGGCCAAACTGGCATCACGGTCTTGCCCGGCTCCGCTCTGGGCACGGGGAACTCCTGGCCCGCCCGGCCAGCTCTGCAAGGCTCAGCCGGGGTGTTTCCGAAGCTCCCGCCGGTAGGCCAGGGAGCGCGCAGCCGCCGCCGCCTCCCTGTCGCCGGAGGCCGTCCCCGCTCCGCCAGCCGCCGCCGCCTCCTCCCGGACAGCTCCGGGCGCCGCGCAGTAGACGCACAGACGCGCGCAGCGGCCCCTGGCGGCCGAGGCTAGAAGAGCGAGGAGACGCCGGCCGGTCCCGCCGCGCTGTCCGCAGTCCGGGTGAACGTCTCCCTGGTGCAGGCTGGGCTAACCCAAAGAGGTCCCTCAAAACTCTCCGCCTTGTGGCTTCCGGGGTGGGAGGGGGCTGCGTGTGGGGAGGGATTGCCAAGACCCCCAGGGGTTTGGAGTCTTGAAGATTCTAGAACTGCACTATCCAGTAGGATAGCCACTAGTTGTATGTGGTTATTTAAGTTTAAATACAAATCAAATAAAATCTAAAAATTGTTTTTTATTTGCTGTTGACATCACCACTGACCATCTGGTGCTGGAGCTAGGGATCTTTCTGTCCTGGCTCTGTGACCTATTTGTAGCTACATCATGGTGGGCGCTGTGAAGAGCAGGTATTAGGGAACAGGGTGACACAGAGAAATGGTAAGCCAACTGCCCCAGAAACACTGAATAATAAAAATAGCCAGGATGTTAAATTTTTTCATCAGTCTTGGCTTGCTGTTGTTGTTTATGCCATTTATCTGAGAGCTGGTTCCAGTTTTTCTTAAACAAGAGGGAAATGCCCATAGCAGCAGCATGGTCTTTACCTCCGTTTGCCTTTGCCACTCTATGGGCCTTTGGATCTGATTTGTTTTTCTTTTCTTATGACTTCTATTTTTCTGGCTGTCTCTGCCCAGAGTGTAGGTATAATTACAGCAAGTCTAAAGACCTGAACGAAGGGTCACCTGAGTGGCTCGTTCGGTTAAGCATCTGCCTTTGGCTCAGGTCATGATCTCAGGGTCCTGGGATCAAGCCCCGCATTGGGCTCTCTGCTCAGTGGGGAGTCTGCTTCTCCCTCTCCCTCTGCACCTCCCCCCCCAGCTCATGCTCACTCTTTCTGTCTCAAATAAATAAATAAATAAATATAAAAAGACCTGAATGACCATTATGAGATTTTTATTTGGAAGCGGCAAGAAAAGCCACTCCTTCTGGGGGCACATCTTAGCTCAGAAACAGAGAGGGTTATGTTCAGGGAGCATTCTGCCCACAGAGCCCAGAAATGGAGTCCCAACCATGAACTCGGTGCCAGTGATTCCTGAGGGCTACCCTGACTTGCATTAGGGCCACAGGGCCTTGTCCCCATTTGGACAGTGCACGGGGTAGGAGGTGTCTCTGGAGATGTACTGATCAATTCCCTCACAGCTGCCTTAGGAACAGGTCTCTTTGGACTCAGCACCACTTTTCCTTTACAAGCAAGCGCTTAGTCTGGCCTCTGTCTCCCCCTGGCGGTGCCTAAGGATCTTGTTCATCGTGCAGGCTCAGCCTCTGCCTTCAGAGGAGGAAGGTGAAAGAGGAGGAACCCCCACTCTTCTCTCTGCCGTTCACCTCCTCCTTAGCACCCCCTCCACGATCCCGACAAATCAGCTTGGCTCATCAGACAGAACGGAGTTTGGGCATTTGGGGACTGGCACGGGTGTGAGTCTCTAGTTGGCTGTGTGACCTCTTGCGGCAAGTCCTGTAAAATGACAGGCGCGTCATCGGTAAAAAGAACATAAAACCCACCTCGAAGGGCTGCTGTTTGGTATAAATAAAGTGCTTTGTAGCGGGCCTACTATATAGTAAGTCCGAAGTTATTGCTGTTATCCTTATTAACTAGCCCTGCTGTGGTCAGGGGAGGCCTAAATGTGGGGGGAAATTGGGTCCTGAGAAGGAAAGTGGAGTCAGAGTGGCAATCGCTCTCCCAGATCTAGAGGTGGTCATCGATGGGGAACAGCGCCGTCAGGAGCCCAAGAACTTACCTCCGGCTCCCTAATTCAGGACGGTCGGCTCCAGCCCGCGTCCTTAGCACCCTCACAGTACGCCCAGCACCAGCTCCTCGCCCTCGCTCTCACTCCAGCAGCCCCAGCCAGAGGTGTTGTCACACGAGGTGCCTCACACCCAGCTGTGGCGGAAGCTACTGGTTTCGCTCTGAAGTCACCAGCTCCATCACCCTCCGGGCAGGCTGGCTGAACCGGGGGCGAGGAGACACCACCCCCGCCCCCTGTCACAATGGGGAAGGTCTACCTGATGTCTCATCTAGAGCACGGCTGAAATAGGATGTGCTTCCCTCGGTCCCTTTCCCACAACAGCAAACCCTTCTTCCCCAAAGAAACTGAGGCGGAGCGAAGCCTGAACGCGGCGGGAAGGAGCAGCGAGCAGATGGGGCGGTGCCGGGGGCGGCCCAGAGCAGGAGGAAGTTTTGCAGCGACCCGCCCTGCCCGCCCAGAGCCAATGGCCGGGAAGAGCCCGCAGGAGCGAGCACCGCCCACCGCGCGCCCTAGGGGGCGGGGCCCGCCTCGGGGCGGGGCCACGGCCGAGGGCGGGGCAGGGAGGCAGCATGCTAAACCGGGTGCGCTCGGCCGTGGCGCACCTGGTGAGCTCCGGGGGCGCCCCGCCTCCGCGCCCCAAGTCCCCAGATCTGCCCAACGCGCCCTCGGCGCAGACCGCCGCTCCTCCAGAAGCGCCCAGGAGCCCTCCGGCGAGGGCTGGGAGCTCAGCGCCCGCGAAGACAGTAGAGGCTCGAGCGAGCTTCTCCCGACCGACCTTCCTACAGCTGAGCCCAGGGGGGCTGCGACGCGCCGACGACCACGCTGGCCGGGCTGTGCAAAGCCCTCCGGACACCGGCCGTCGCCTGCCCTGGAGCACGGGCTACGCCGAGTGAGCGCCCCCGGGAAGACCCTGGGCAGGACGGGACCCTCCCAGCCCCCATCCCGTTCCCCAGCTGGGCATCCCCGGCGCTGGGCTGCGTGCCCCTCGCCGTGCTCGGCGCGAGGAGCTCCCTTCTCCCAGGACCTTTGCTTTCCTTTGGGCTTCGGGCCGCAGCACCCCCCCTCCCCCCCCGCCGCCCTTAAGCCCTTTCTCAAGTCGGTGCAGTCTTCCTCAGGACCTTTCAGCTCGTTGACTACCCTCACCCGCGCCGCCTCAGGACCTTGTTCCCTTCCAGAGCCCGGAGGGTGGAGGGCCCCGTGGAGGATGAGTTGGCCAGTTCTCAGTCGGGGCCCCGGCAGTTTAATGGCTAAAGGAGGCGGGGTTTCAAGGAGGGGGGGTGCCCTTTTAATAGAGGAGATGGCGGCCGGAGAGACTCGCTCCTGGGCTTCCCGACCCCAGCGCCCCAGTTCTCTGTCCCTCTTACCGTTCCCCTCCCCCTCCACACCCAGAAATAGCCCGCGACACCAGGCGGCCTCCGGCTTCCCCAGGGCCGAGGGAGGGGGCCGCCCGGGGAAGCAAAAGGGTCCCCTTTGAATGCCTCTCGGAGGGAGGGCATGGCACTGGCCTGGCAAAGAAGTGGACCCCCGGTCGTAGTGGGGAGCCGCCGGCTGAACCCCAGGCCGGGTGTATTTTTAATGTATCTACTGGGAAAGTAGAGCACTGAGGGAGATGGGGGCGCTGAAGCCGCTGAGGGTGGTGGCTCGTAGACCCCGGGCCCTACCACTAGTTCCTTTAGCTTTCTGCTTGAGAAGAGTTGGTGGTTCTGTGGCTCCTGCGCAGTCCAGGTGGGCTTCCAACCCTACCCTATTTCAATTCCTGTTTCCCTATCTGGGCTCAGCGCTTCCTCACTGCCAAAGCAGCAGAAACTTTCACTGGATGATTTTAAGATAAAGGTGGGTGCGCCCATGAGGGTGGGGTGCTGTGGAGGAGGCACTAGAAAAATTGATTAGGTTTCAGAGTGGGATGGAGGGTCTTGGCAAGCAGGGTAGTTAAGACCTCCTGCTGCCCCTGCCCAGCCTCTTCCCCAGCGGCCTGTGGGGGTGCCCCCTTTGCCAGGGACTGAGGAACTGAGGCAGGAACGAGCTGCTGCTGGTCTTTTTATGAGGTGGGGGGGCCTGACACCCAGACAGTACTCCTTGTGCCTTGCCCTGCCTCCCTTCCCTTCTCCTCCTCTTTCTGGCCTGGATCCCGGGTGGCTATGACCTTTCTCGGTTTGGCCAGCAGGCTAGAGAGGGTGTGTGTGTCTAAGGTGGGGGTTATTCCGGGACCTGGCCTAGTGTCCAAGCTGATGTGGTCACTCTGGCCTGGCAGGGTCATCAACGCTGGCAAAAGCCGGCACAATGAGGACCAGGCTTGCTGTGAGGTGGTGTATGTGGAAGGTCGGAAGAGTGTTTCAGGGGTGCCTAGGGAGCCTAGCCAAGGCCAGGTAAGCCCCCACCCCCTTCCCTCGCCTCCAGAGATGGTGACAACTCTCCCTGGGGGTTCTAGGCATCCAGTTTTAAATCTCAGGCCTAACTCCTCACTCAACTAGCTTTCTACCTCTGGCACAGAAGCTTCTACCTCTGGCACAGAACTGACATTGACCAGTTAGAATGTCAGTATAAATGTTCCGCTTACACTTAGAATGTAGGTGCTCCTGTACTTACGGATGATTTAATTCATTGCCAATGTTTATTTTTGTATCTTTTATCCTCCGAGTTTGGCTTTTTTTGATGCTTTACTTTCTGACACATAATAGGCCCTTGGTGAATGAATGAATAAATCTAATTTGCCTTTCATACCAAACTCTGACCTCCTCTCTGATGTTTGTATGGTTGCCTAGAGTCTTGCTCTTCTCCTTGTATCACACACACACACACACACACACACACACACACACACACACACTCCCTCATTCACCTCCAACTTTTCCTCCACCAGGGACTCTGCTTCTACTACTGGGGCCTATTTGATGGGCATGCAGGGGGCGGAGCTGCCGAAATGGCCTCCAGGCTTCTGCATCGCCACATCCGGGAGCAGCTAAAGGACCTGGTAGAGATACTCCAGGACCCCTCGCCACCTCCCCTCTGCCTTCCGTCTACCCCAGGAGCCCCAGGTTCCTCTGATGCTTCTCACTTGGTGGGTCCTCAGTCCTGCTGTTCTTCACAGAAGGAAGTGACCCATGAGAGCCTGGTAGTGGGGGCCATAGAGAATGCCTTCCAGTTCATGGTGAGTGGGTGGTCCCCAGGCAGGAGCCTGCTAGTCAACTGGTACGGGTCAACTCTGTATGGGAATCAAGTGGCCTAAGGGGCCCTGAGTTACCCACAACACCTTTGAGGGCCTGAGCAGAGTTTGGTTCAGAGGGGAGGGAAGGGGGAGTTATACCCATGTCTGCCTTCCCCTCCTCCAGTGTGGCTTGGCCGGGCCAGTTTATTTCTGCGGATGGGGGCAGTGGTTGTGTGCCTGGAACCTGTTCTTCATTCACCCCCTCTGACCCTTCCTCACATGGCAGGATGAGCAGATGGCCCGGGAGCGGCGTGGCCACCAAGTGGAGGGGGGCTGCTGTGCACTGGTTGTGGTCTACTTGCTAGGCAAGGTGTATGTGGCCAATGCAGGGGACAGCAGGTATGGGGAGGGGGCAGGGGGTCACCCTCTGGGATGGGGGAATAGAAGAGAATGAGGTGGTGGGTGTTACAAATCAAAAACCGAAGGGAGGGATGGTGTCAGGAGCGGTCACAGACATAAGGGATGGCCTGAAATAGCCACGAGGGGAGGAAAGATGGGGGTCTGGGTGAGGAACCCCAAGGGTCATTGTGGGGAAGGCCTGGTCTTTCTGGAATTCTCCACAAGGGGGCTGAGGAGAGCCCAGCCCAAACCTTTTCTTTCTCTGGGCAGAGCCATCATTGTCCGGAATGGTGAAATCATTCCAATGTCCCGGGAGTTCACCCCGGAGACTGAGCGCCAGCGTCTTCAGCTGCTTGTAAGTAGGAATTAACCTCCCTGCTCCCATTCTTTGTTGACTCTTGTGGCTCTCTGTGGCCTGTGGCCCCACCCTCACCACCCGGACCGCTCCTTACTGGCTGCTCACTGGGAAGGCCGCTCTGCTCGGCAGCGATGGCTGAGCTGGTGGAGTGCGTAGCAGGAAGGAACGTGGGCTACTCCAGGGCTCCCACTGTGGCCCCCGCTGGGGAAGGAAGTGAAATCAGAGGCTGGGAAAGGAAGTAGCCAAGGCCCCTGAGAGGCAGTATGGTTTAGTGCTTTAAAGTACTGACTCCGGAGCTGGACTGCCTGGGATTGAATCCTGGTTCGAGTCCTTTGCTCATTGTTTGATGTGCAGATGGTTCCCTTAAGTTGCATCAGTAGCTCCTGCCTTAAGGGTTGTCGTGAGGTTAGGCGAGTTCATATACATTATTTGTATTAGAACAGTGCATGGCACATGGTAAAGAAACCCCATTTAAGGCCCTGCTGTAATTAACCTCATCTATACGGCAGGGTGTGCTCTAAGCCTAATGCCCCCCTGGCCCTCTGCTCTGTCCGGCCACTCCCAACCGCAGGGCTTCCTGAAACCAGAGCTGCTAGGTGGTGAATTCACCCACCTTGAGTTCCCCCGCAGAATTCAGCCCAAGGAGCTGGGGCAGAGGATGCTGTACCGGGACCAGAACATGACCGGCTGGTAACACTTCCTTCCGAGCTGGGGCCCGTTCCCATGGCAACACAACCAGTCCCTCACCACCAGCAGCAAGGTGGAAGCTGGAGGCGGGGCCAGTCTGGGCGTTGGGGGGGGGATGTGGTCCTTCTTAGGGGTTTGTGTGAGGAGCATGGCTCCTCAGGGAGAGGGGCTTTGATGCCTGGGTGATGCCTCCTCTACTCCCCCCTCCCCAGGGCCTACAAAAAGATCGAGCTGGAGGATCTCAGGTTTCCTCTGGTCTGTGGGGAGGGCAAAAAGGTAAACTCCACGGCAGAGGTGGGAGAGGGCAGGAGGACCCACCACAACTTGTCTAGGGAGGTGGAGGTTCTACCCCAGGGCAGGGGTGGGAGGGCCCACAGCTTCAGAGGCTGGGAGAGGGCCGTGGCAGCACCCATACCCATTCCCTTTAGGCTCGAGTGATGGCCACCATTGGGGTGACCCGGGGCTTGGGAGACCACAACCTCAAGGTCTGCAGCTCCACTCTGCCCATCAAGCCCTTCCTC